AACCCGCGCCCGCGCGCCCTCCTCCGCCAGGCCCGAGAACCGCTCTGTTATTTTGGGGGTCATTGAAAATGTCGACCTTTATTCTAGAGGATAACAGGGACCCAGAGAGCAAAGAAAGGAAAGCCGGGCGGGCGTGGGGGAGGGTCTGGGGGAGAGAACCCGGCGGGGGCAAGTGGGCGGGAGAGGAAGCGGGAGCAGAGGAACGCGGGGGGCGGGCGACCCCCCGCCAGTGAGCAGGGCCGCGCGGCCTGGACCCCCAGGGCTCGGGGGATGTGTCCTCCCGCCAGCCCCCACCCCGCCCCAAGGAGCCGGTGGCAGGAGCTCTGTTTAGTCCTCCCGAGTGGGGCGTCTCTGAGTGCTGGGAGCAGGGGTGGGCCCCGGCTTGTCTTCGTGGGCGCCCTCTCCCAAGCACGTGCGCAGCGCCCAGAAGCCGGGGCCCAGGCCGGGGGGCCGAGAGCAGCCAGAGGCCGCCACTGCTGCGGGAATGCAGGGACTCCCGGGACCTCCCTCCGAGGCTCATCCCGCCTCCCCCTGCCTGTGGGGGCATCTCAGGGTTTGTAGACTTACTTCTCCAGGGCAGTGGGGGGCGCCAGTGAGCCTGGGTGGGCGCCTATCTGTGCAGGAGACAGGAGAAGCCTGGGAGAGAGGGGCAGGCGGGGCGGGACGGGGGGAGTAACAGCTGTGGCCGGGCGTGGCGTGGGGCCTGGGCATGCGCGGTACACGCGTGGGTCGCGTCTGCGTTTTCCTTATGACTGTAGCATGAGGCATGTGTTTGAAGGCGGTGGTACCTGGCGTGTGTGTAGAGTAAGGTGTGGGCCTGCGCATTTATGTGTCTTGCGCCACGTGTATGCCGTAATGGACACGTGTGTGCTCCCCCTACCTGTGCGCCTCCATATGTTGTGCCCCCGTGTCCCTGCAGGCAGGGTCCCTCTTCTGCTCCTGACCCAGGTCCACCATCACCCCAGGTCCTGGGAGCCAGAATCGTGATTGGCTTTGGGGTTCCCTCCAGCAACAGCAGAACAGAGACCAGCCCCCACCCCAGCCAGTGTCGTGGAGACTGGTGGGACTGCGATGTTACCACCAAGCCCTGGCCGAGATAACGCAACACGGAGTCAGGCCTGTCTTGCCCCCTAGAGAGACGCGCAGAACCTCAGGTGGGCCTCCTGCCAGGTCCCGAACCTCATCCAGCCTCCATCTACCGCTCGTGGCAGGAGAGGGCGAATTCCCACCCTCTCGCTCACACAGCCTCTGACCTCCTGGAGGCCAGGCAGGGCTCCAGGTGAAGACCGATTCTCCATGCCCCGGGGCCCAGCCAGGGCCTGGCACAGGGCAGGAGCTTAGCAAATGTTTGTTGGATG